TCAATCCAATTTGAGGTAGGCAGAATAGGGGAGGAAGAAAAGTGGAAGATCAATAGAGTCAAAGGTTTTCTGGCAAAAGAACAGACAAGAACAGTTATAATTACAGGATGGTATATTGTCTCTTTCATGCCATGGTCAATGACATAACTGAGCAGCTAAATGTAAGCTGAGGAAAGTAAGGTGAACAGCTAAAATCTATTTCATCACTAACATTACAAGGCATAAAGAGAGATAAGTTTCTGCAGACACAGTTTATGGAGTTCAGAGACAACAAGTAAAAAGCAGGATTTCAACTGGAAATACTCATGATGCCACTCAAATATAGAAATAGGAAGATAAAAATTGTTGCATGTGTGGCTGGAGAAATGGACTAGGAGGCAGGGCTTTAGGTTCTTGAGGCATTGGGACCCATTTTTAGCAGAAGATGCAGCCTCTACAAGCTAGATAGGTTCCCATCAATCCAGCCTGAACCAACATTTTATCTTTGTACTGTGTCAGTGTTGTTGGGGAGAGTCTAAACGAGCTTCGCAGGCAGATAAGAACTCAAACAGATTCTGAAAAGGGGGAAAAAATGGATATGGCAGGCAGAAAAACTTGGAAAGGAAAAAAAGACATCAAGTTTAAGGAATAAGGCAGATGACCGGATAGACCAGATCGACATGTGGGTGCATGAAATTATAGATAGGAAACAGAATGGAAAGAAGGGTTAGCATGACAGCTCAACTTTCCTGGTTAAAAAGTTTTCTAGACAACAAAGACATTCAAAAAGGGTCATGGACACAATACTCATTAAAGAAAAATAGAGGATAGATAATACAATAGAACTAATACTAAATAAAGCCAGATGGGTTGAACTGAATAAAAAACAATTCCAGGTTAATCAGGGTGTGTACTATAGGCCTCCAACAAAGAGGAAAGAGCAAATCTGAAAAGTGTAGAATGGATCAGTAATTGGGAGGCAGGGGATATTGTTCAACTACCCTAATATTAACCGGACGACTAATGCGTAAAGGCAGAGTAGGATGCTGCTCAACTTGCTGGCTAGAGAGGGATCAGATCAGGACTTGTGTTTTAGGAATGAAGCTGGAAACGTGATAGGAGGAATATATAGAGAGTATTCTGGCGGCATGGATCTTAACTCAGTTAAATTTAGAGTAATGATAGAAAAGGGCAAAGCAGACCAAGAATAAAACCTTAACTGAGGAAATGCTAACTTTATTAAGGCAAGATGTGGTGTAACTAATGTGGACTATTTGAATCAAAGCTTCAGACTGTATAAAAGAAATCAATGAACCATTCAGGTGGTGCAACAATAGTAAATTGAGTTAAACAAGAGGCGAGGGGCAACAGGTTTGGGGAATGCTAAAAAAGCGAGTACCCATTAAATGGTATGAAAGTACCAGGTAGAGAGAAACGGGGCTCTTAAAAGCTACGTGCTCTCATTCCTGAAGGCAGCTGGACGAATAAATAAAATGGTTAAGGAGACTACAGCTGGATACACATTAGCTGAGCCATAGAAGAGCACAATAGTTATGGTAAAATTACATAACAATTGCAATGTAGGAGATTTGAGAGAATATTACCAGGAACAGGGATTTTTTAGCTAGAAGACTGAATTGGTTAGAGTTCTTTTCTTTAAAACAGAGGATGAGGAAATCGCTAACCGAAGTGCATCAAATTAGGAGGTCTTGATAGATCAGACAATTGATCCTATTCTTATTGGTCAAAGTGTCCACAACCAGGTATAAGGTGAGAGGTAGGATTAAGAAATTGGAGATGGAATTATTCCACGGATGGTAATAAGTATCTGTAACTCGGTCTGCCCTGTCACCATTTCAGACATTCTCGTTATATTAAGAGAGTACTTAGATATGCACTTGAAGTGCTGAAACCTGCAAGACTATACGGCAAGATTTAGTGGGTGGGACGAGCAGGAGGGTACCTTGAACACCCTCTGGTGTAAATGTCTACGATTCTCCCAAACAAAAAATAGGTACAATTTATTCTATTCCCTGAAGTACATTATGAATCAGTTGACATTTTAAAAGGAAGTTTATGGCATTTCTCTCTCATTCCAGGTAGTCCACATTTGTTGAATAGAATTTTGCACAATGGAATCCAAAAATCAAAACTTTCTCATTCCAGTAACAAGATCACTACTGTATTATACCTGGCAGATGTCAGAAAACAGTGACAGAAATTGGACCACCAATTGAAAAGCAAACCGGTTACGAATTTTATTTACAAATTTACATATTCTCATGCTGGCACAAATCTTCTTTATAAGTTAAATGTGGCTCACATTTGGTGATCAATTTACATCACATTGTATAGTTATTACAGAAGCATCAAATTCTTGCGAGTGTTACCTAAAATAAGCTCACGTTTAAATGAACTCCCCATTACATGATAATACAAAAATTAAAATATCTCGATCCTCGATAGAAGAACTACAGGGGAGAGGAGGATTCCTATGTTCAAATTGCAATTACCTGGAATACCACTATTTGATGAAGTAGTGGGTGTAGATTCAATAGCAACTTTTTTGGGGGAAAGAGGGGGTGGTGCCTGTCAGGAAACAGCACAAGGTTGAGACTAATTGGAAATATTGACTGATGAAACTGTTCAGAGATGCTGTAACACACCTTAGTGCAGGTGGTACTTAATGTGGGTTTCCTGAACTCAGGGATAGGGATACTACCACTGCACCTCAGGAAGCCTGCAATTAATTGGATAGCTGGTCAAAAAATTCCCATCGTCTGCACCAAATGAATACTTTAATGCAACAGCCTTGAATTGTGTTGCATCAGCTGAGATGTTTAAAAATTTTTGTTATGTGACACTTGAAAGAAGATGCTGATTTAAACAACTTGGACAGCTGCATCTGTCATAATCTAACTATATCCTATTTTCAGCAGATTGATGCACAATGTATCTTACAGGGTCATAAATCTACGCAATGTTTACATCACTTCCACAAAATATATTAGTTTCTTTGAGGCCATCTTAGGAAACATTATACAACTTCACTTTTGATAGTTAATTTTAGTGCTGTAGGCCACAAAATCAGATCCTCCAACTTTAATGTGATGGAACATGTTCTCATCATCACTCAAGTTAGCCTCCATTGATGTGTTATATAGTTTCCACTGGTGGATTCTCATTAAATAAAAATAATTGGGCATACACACACACACACACACACACACACACACACACACACACACGCGCGCGCAAAAGAAAGCGAGGACTGCTGAATTTGATAAAAGATAGGTATCTCCACAAATACATGGGTAATAGATACATGCTTTCAAATGCAATACTGAAAGTATACTAGTTAGGTGCAATATTGATTTTTTTTTTTAAAAAGGAGGCTCGTTTTAATTTGCACAAGTTCATTTTAAAACTGAACTGTTAAAAGCAAATGCAGGAAATACTGGGAACACAAGTTAACCTTTAACTTTTCCATTTCAGATGAAGGGCATCAAATAGAGATATGCAACAGATTTTAAGCAAGATTTGCTGCTATTGCAAGAAAACAGTCAAAGCTGATGTTGTGCAATGCATTAATAAACTTTGGATAAAAAAGTGTAATTTAAAAATTACCTCCATTGTATATGTCTATATACAAGACTGACATACCATCATTGAACTATATGGAATAAATGGGAAAAATATGTGGCTTACGAAGTCAGTCTATTGAATTGGAAAATAGATCCGTCTTGTCATGTTTGAATGAAAGACCAACATTTTACAACCAGGAGAAAGCTTCCATTTTATATCTACTCTGATATTTTCCAGAGAAATGGAGAACCTTTGCCTACTTCATTAGAGTTTATTCTTTGTTTGTAGCAGTTTCTTAGTATTAGTTATAGTGATTACGTACCCATTCTGACCAATTCATGGAACATAAATGCAGGAATTAGACAAAGTTTGTAAGCACAAAACGGTATTTGGTTTTACTTCAATAATCTCTAAATTTTAACAAAGCTGCTGCACATCACCATAGAACAGAGATACAAGTGACATTCTTTTAAAATACATAAATTAACTTTTTACCTTTTAATTCTCAGTATAGGTTTGGCTGAGTGCATGAATTTATGCAGCTTAATTCTTAATAGTTCATTATTCATACAAATAATTTAAAACCCTTTACCAAATTTAGGCAAATATGTTTTGGTTCAAGTGCAAACAATGAGCAACTGTTCTGGTCAAATCACAAATCCCCTTTTCCAAGGATGATAAAAGTTAAATAAATTCTTCAGCATTACTTCACAATCAGAGTTATACAATTGAAAATATACTTGAAATAACAGACTGTTTTAATGGAAAGAAATTACAAAGTTTAAAGGTGATCTTGTAATCAAGCTTAATTAACAATTTAACCCCAATGCCTTGCACCATTTACAGAAGGTACTGCCTGCTTTAAATAAAATGAGGAGTACAAGAATTGCTGCAATGTGTTTCTTTGTATCAAGTATCCGTTAATACAATGTTTACATTTAAAGGAATGGAAGATAGTCTCTGTGAACATAGTATGTTGCATTATAACCAGTAATTCTTCAGAGCTAAGGTATTGTCTTTAGCTACTGCTGTATGGATTTAAGGTTAGCATTTCCAGTTAAATTCATCATGGCTGGCATTTTGCAGCAGGAATGACGGGAAAGCTGCTGGAATTTGCTGTCGTTACTCTCCTGAAACTAACAGCTATTAAAGTTTGCACATGCTAAGTTAAACATTGATATCCAGAAGCTGCTAAATCAATGACTACCCGTCCTAATATGGTGTTGAAGTCACCCCAAATTTGCAATTTACTGATTGATGCCTTAGCACACCTAGTCTCGCCGGAAAAACTTAAAGTTGTAAATTTTTATTCCTGTGAAGTGCAACAGAGTTTGAAGTTTATAACTACTTAACAGCCTAGATGCTTGAAGGTACATTTGTCAATAGTAGGGTGAAAGAAGTGGGGGATGCACAAGAAGCCAAATTTGCAGAAAAACAATTCTCAAAATATTTTAATGTTGAAGTGTTCCAGGACCAGGGGCCAACATAGATCAACAAGATAGTTGAAGATGGGAGAAAGTTAAAAAAAATGCTAAATTGGAAGACAAGGTGGGAAATGGAGACAGTAAATGGAATTTGTTTGTAACCAAATTAGTTTTGAGTAAAGACCACTGAGCTGAAACATTAGCCTTTTCTCTCTCCACAGATGCTGCTTGACTTGTTGAGCATGTCCAACTTTTTTAAAAATAGATAAATGCAAATACTCTTACAAAATATCCCTGACATGTATCCTCCTATATTCAATTCTTGATGGGTTAGAAGATCCGCATATTACCTCAGCTGCTGCTGGGACACAAGAGTCATCCAAAAATAACTCTAGCAGCTACGTGTGCAAATTACACCACCAAAGGTTAGGGGCTTGAGCCAGCTAACATCTGAGTATTTAAATCAATTTTTCCAATAACAGAAACACCAACACTATTACTCACTGAGAACATTCTTTCCCCCTGTACCTTTAGATCTTAGATCTTACAATACTTAAAGCACTAGCTGGAAGAAGAAACCATGCCCAGCCATGATCAGGGCTTTTGTGCAAGGCACGGCAGCACTGGTGAAGATTTTCACAATCTGTTGAAGCATGTAATTGCTTCACGGTTTTGCCTCAGCACAGTTAGTGGCAGTGGAAATGTAGACAAAGAAAATTTTTAGTTGCAGTGAAATGGTGGTTTCCACTAGAAATGTAGAATATCATTACCAATATTGCCTTCAAGAATGATTAAGTGGCATAATTAGTGTCAAATTACTAAAGTATGCCATAAACCATAATTTTTGGCTGAATGTTATCTAGTTTTAATTTAATGACATGGTGTTCTAGAAAACAATAGAATGCCAGTACTGACAGTACTTTGTAACATACTCAATTCATTCAGCCTGTTTTCTGTTCTTCAGTAATGGTAAAACTGCTGTCATTCAGGAAGTTTTAGGTTTGTAACTTCTGGCTTCATTTTGAAATATTGGCAGAATCGCACAGATGCATACCTTGGGGGGAAAAAAATGAAGAAGTCAGGATTAATTTTAAATTTACTGGATTCTTCACGTGTTCTTCATACACTTCGTGTGTTGTCAGGACCAGATAGCACATACTTGCCCTACGTTACTAAAACTGATCAATGAGGGAGGAGCGGGCAGGGATTCAATTTAGTACATAAACTGTCAAAAAGAGGTACAAAACGCTGAGCTAGCTTGCCTTGGGGGGAAGAAAATGAACTGTAATTAAATGAAAAACATTACTATTTAAATTGGCATGGGCTGATCAGAAACAAACAGTCAGAAGTGAATTTCTAAGTGATACGTCAGATTTGAGTAATACGGAAAAACTTGGTACAACTTCATTGCTACAGGGATGGACTCTAAGAAAAAGGGAGGTTATACTGCTGCTGTATAGAGTGCTAGTGAGGCCACGCCTGGAGTACTGTGTACAGTTTTGGTCTCCTTACTTGAGAAAAGGATGGACTGACACTGGTGGGGGGGGGGGGGGGGGGGTTTAGCGGCGGGACACAAGGTTGATGCCGAAATTGACAGCGTTGGCTTAGGAGGAGCGATTGAGTAGACTGGGACCATATTCATTGGAATTTAGAAGAATGAGGGTGAGCTCTTATAGAAAGATATAAAGTTATGAAGGGAATAGATAAGATAGAAGCAGGGAGGTTGTTTCCACTGACGGGTGAAACTGGAATCGGGGGCATAGCCTAAAAATAAGGGGGAGCAGATTTCAGATGGAGTTGTGGAGGAACTTCTTCACCCAAAGGGTTGTAAATCTGTGAAATTCCCTGCCCAGTAAAGCAGTTGAGGCTACCTCGTTGAATGTTTTTAGATGCAAAGATAGATAGGTTTTGGAACAGTAAAAGAATTAAGTGCAGGTAAGTGGGAGCAGAATTCACGAAAAGATCAGCCATGATTTTACTGAAAGGCACAGCAGGCTTGACGGGCCAAATGGCCTACTCCTGCTCCTAATTCTTACATTCTTATGTAAAAAGAAGAATGCAATATAGCATACATCTCTGAAAAAAGGCTTTCAAATAATACATAATTTGCAAGCATATTCCATTAAGGCACAATCCTCAGAAAGTGGCTCAACCATGATTAACAAAAGCAACTGAAGGTAGTATTTGAGAAGACTGACTTATAATGTTGCCAAAACAGCAGTAAGCCTGGGGATTGGGAGGATTTTAGAACTCAACTGTGATCAAGAATTTGTCAGGAAATACAACATGAAATGAAGTTGGCACTAAACTCATTCTGGGCATAATGGGGAACCAAGGGTATGAAGAGAACAAGGAATTTAAGTAAATTATCTTGGAGAAATTAATGGGACCAGGTGGCAATCTTTTGAAGCTGACAACTTTTATTCCTGGGTTCTAAAGAGGTAGCTGCAGAAACAGTGATTGTGATTGTGATTTTGGTCTGTAAGAATTTCTTAGATTTTAAAACAGTTACCAAGAATTTAGAAGATGGAAAACATAACCTCGCTATTCCAGAAAGGTGAAAGAGAAAAAATAGCAGGGAAATACAAGCCAAATTAGCCTCAGCCCTCACAGCAAAGTGGTAACAGGGTGATTAAGCAGCATCAACTTGGATTCTTGAAACTAAAAGTATGTTTGACAAATCAGTTATGTATCTTAATTACATCCTGAAAAGATCCTAACTGAAACTGTATAATGTTTTTGGATTGTGGAGCAGTGCACAGGAATGGAAGAAGTTACACAGGGTAGGAGATGGGTTAAATGAATGGCAAGAACACAGCAAACAGCAAATTCAAAGATTCTCAGGCAACACCTTCCAAACTCAAGACTACCATCATCTAAAAGGACAGGGCAGCAGGGAACACCACCATCTGCAAGTTTCCCTCCAAGCCACTCACCATCCTGACTCAGAAAGATATTGCCTTTTCTTCAGTGTCACTAATTCCGGTCAAAATCTAGAAACTCCCTCTTTAACTATGCTGAGTTTATCTATACCCCAAGGACTGCAACAGTTCAAGGCAACAGCTCATTACCACCCTCTCAGGGACAACTAGAAAATGGGTAATAACTGTTTGCCAGGCCAATGATACCCATATCCCACAAGTGAAAATTGAAAAATGAAAAAAAGAAATAATGAAAGAAATCAAAAATAGAATTCATAACATGGAAGTGTGAAATTACCTAATTTAATTAAAAATACTCTGAACACTGAGGCAAATGCTTGCATTCAGAGGGGCTTGAATATGAATCACAAAGTTAACATGAAGGTAATGACAAAAAATTAGGAAGGCAAATGTTATGCTAAGTTTGGTTACAAAGGATTGGAGTACAAGAGTAGACAAAGTTTCTAATTATGCAGTATTACTTAAATAAGTTTTATGGAGCTATGATTTTGGTAAGAAGCAAGCAGACTTGACAGATCAAAATGGCCCAATCCTGCTTCTATTTCTCATTTTCTTATAAAGCACTGGTTGAGAAAATAGAGACCATGGAAAGTGGTAACATGAATGGAAATATAAAGTGAGGATAACTCTAGAAAACAAAAAAATGATAGGAGTGAAAGTGTATGTACCTTTGGGGTCTTCACTGTGCAACAGCTGAGCAACTGCAATTCTGATTTTATTAGAACTGAAGTCCCAATTGTACAGCTTGTGGATTTTAACTAATCAATATATTTCCTCAGAATTCAGAGGGAACATCTGGCCTCAACTTAAACTATATGAATCCACAGCTTACACCAAATATTATCACTGATGAACCTAAATGGACTAGTCCCTTAATTTATAACTGACTAGTATGTACAGGGAAGTTTCATAGTCTTAATTAAAAATACTACTGAACTGCAACTTGAAGGAACTGAAAGTCCCTTCAATCCATGTTTGCTGGTTCACCAACATACAAAATATCTGGAAGGTAATCAAGTGTCCCAACATGCATAAGACAATAGTACAACACAACCACTTGAGAGATTAGACTAGATTTTTAAAAGCTTGATCAAGAGATAGGTTTTACAAAGGGTCATGAACAATGGAAATAAGGCAGAGAGGCAGAGTAGCGTAGAGTGGAAATTCCAGTTCAGGGCCTGGGCAAGCAAAGACACGATAGAAAAATTTAAGTCAAGAATGCTCCAAAGGGCAGAATTAGAGCAGTGTCAGTATTTCATAGGATTGCAGTGGCTGGACATTACAGAGAGAAGGGGTGGAAGGAGATGGCATACTTGGAGGGATTTGAAAACAAGGATGATAACTTGTAAACCAAGATGCTGGCTAACTTTGAGCCAGTGTAAATCAGCAAGCGAAGGGGTGAAAGATGAACAGGATTTTGTATAAATTGGATAGGGAATACAGATTATTGGAATGACAAGTCTACAGTGAGTAGAATGTGGGATACCACTCAGCAGTGCATTGAAGTGATCAGGTCTAGAAGTAACAATGCCAAGTTATAAAGAGTTTCAGAAATTTAAAGTAGGGGTAAAGTTATAAAAGCTAAAATTAGGCAGTTTTGTGACTGCGGTCAGAAACACACCTTCAGGTCAAATACAGTACTAATGTTTCAAACATTCTGGTTTAGTAACAAAAACTGAAAGAACTGCAGATGCTGTAAAAGCTCAGCAGGTCTGGCAGCATCTGTGAAGGAGAAAACAGAGTTAACGTTTCGGGTCCGGTGACCCTTTCCCAGAACTGATGGCGGCTGGAAAAACGTCAGTTTATATGCAGAAAATA